TTCTGTCATTTCGGCTGAGGTTGGTGCTCGACTTTACTGTTTTCTTTTTTTTTTTCTTTTGACGTATATCGTGTTAAATAGGTAAAGTTTAGTCAAAAATTTTTATTAATTTATACCTACATGAGTTCTTTTTGGGGTTGCTTTTAGACGCCGATTCCATTTTACTAATTTAACTACACATTTTTGGACGAACCTCTCGAAAATGTTTTTTTAATTTGGCGTTTCATAGTACTCAGCATTACTAGAAGCGCATTAAATTCCATTTTCCAGGTAGAGCGAAATTTTACGGAAAAGCTCTTAGAATATGTCAGAGATTATGTACTGTTCCTAACAATTATATGCCCTCACCCTTTTTATAACTGATTATTCAGGTTTCGTATCCTACCGACCTTGAAGTGCCTCCCAATTGTGCTGTGTGTTCATGTGCTCCCCATGAAGATTATGACGAAACAATTAAATGCAAACCGGTTAAAGGTGTGGGGATTTCTCTGCTAAAAAACGTTTAATTTTTCTTTTTTTCTTTGCCATTTTTGAAAAAAAGCATCACTGAGTTTTTTTTTTACATTCGTCAACTTTCTATGCCCATGTTCTTTCAGATATTCGTTTATGGACACTTGCAAATGGTGGACCTTTCTGGACAGTAAATGGTCGTAGAGCTGATTCTGGAAATGGCAGTATGGGCGAAGATAATGTCTGTTAATGATTATTTTACATACTCTTCACTCTTTTTCACTTGTCCATTTCTTGTTCATTCTACCTTCCTCTCGTCACTTCTTTTGAAACTCACTCCTTATTTGCTTATTGAGCTTATCTTTAGGTGAGTGATCTTGGCACTGAAAGCGAAAATGCTGAACCAGCTGAACTCGATGCAACTGCTCAGTTCTATGAAGAGGTTGCTGAAAGTATGGAACGGATACAGGGTTTCACATTCAGTAAGCAACAAGTGGGTGAAATGACTATGATCTTACTTTTATTGTTTCACATTTCCCATTCAGTTTATGCCATTTATACAGTTCTTTGTATGCCTTTCTCAATCCTACTATGCACAATCTAGATGCATAATCTGATACTGGAAATCAATTCCTCCAAACTGGCTTACAACGTTTCAATGGAGG